CCAATGCCAGAGGAAGGCAGCCATATTTGCACACACACCGATCCCTAACTATATTCTTGTGTGGTTCCCTTTGCTTTATCCCAGTTGTGGTTTATGCCTCTAGGATTTCATTGGGTCAGGGGCTAAAGAGAACTCTCTGTGATTGACGGTCAAAAAGTACAGTTTTATCAGCAAGGACCCACAAAGCCAAACAACTTCAGAGAAGTGCACTCAACAGAAAATGACACAGATTTCATTTTATGGAGCTACATGTGAACACCATATTCTTTCCCTCACTCATCTAGAAGACAATATTGAGCTAGAGGTACCAATAGCCTCAGGATAAGGCAGCTCTCTTCATTTATATAGCCTTAGGAGTTCACAATCTGTGGGTTCCACCAGTGGTCCATGGATTCAGGTGATCCATGGAATGAAGATGAGAAACAGCACTTCCATCACACTGAATATTCATATTGATTTTCAATCACATTTTAATTGCATTTATTTCTTGTACAGTGGTACCTCGGGTTACATACGCTTCAGGTTACATACACTTCAGGTTACAGATTCCGCTAACCCAGAAATAGTGCTTCAGGTTAAGAACTTTGCTTCAGGATAAGAACAGAAATCAGGCTCCAGTGGTGCGGCAGCAGCAGGAGGCCCCATTAGCTAAAGTGGTGCTTCAGGTTAAGAACAGTTTCAGGTTAAGAACAGACCTCCGGAATGAATTAAGTACTTAACCCGAGGTACCACTGTATTTCTTGTATTAAAATTTGAGTTCTATGGAATTACAGTTGCTACAACAGGCAGAAAAATCATTAAGTAGTCCACCAAGTAGGGTTGCCATGTGCCCTCTTTTTTTTCCAGGACACGTCCTCTTTATCAGGGGAAAATTTGAGACATGTTGCATTTATTTGCTTTGAATGGCCATCATAGCGTCTCCTTTTTTGCTCTTCAAAATATGGCAACCCTACCACCAAGACTCTCAGCAATTTTCAAGTAAACCATTGGGAACCACTGGGCTAGAACACTGGATGTAAAGACCATAGTTCTCTCCTTTTACATTTTTTTCAGTTTCACTCAGCAGCCGAAAGGAGGAAATTAAGGCACCTTCTTCTTCTGCAAAAAAAACACCTAAGAATCACTTTTATCCTTTCCTAATATCAAACATGTATCTTATAATTAAATTTCAATCCCTCCCCCCTGCTCTCAACTAGGATCATTCATTTGACAGATCCTGCAGTGAGATTATTACAAGATTATAAACTATTGTCAGTCAAATTATCAATGCGGGTCTGAAAAAAACCCCTCAACATTTTGTCAATGCTGAGAGCAGATGAGGGAGGGAAGGAACAATGAATGACAAGAGGTTGTCAGTTCTTGGTTAGAAGTAATTGGCACAGAGGAGACAAAAGATGAATCAAGTGAAGAAGAAAAAGAGTTTGATGGCAAAAGCTCTCACATTTCAAGACTTCTCCTAAATAGGAGGACTAATGCACCGGAGAATGAATTGAGTCTTGAACTATGATGTTTCAATTTATTGATGATGCAATATGACTTCTGCTTAAAGTGGTTGAGTCATTCATTCATTCTGCTTAAGGTGTTTTCTTTAAGTTGGGTGAGCACCAGCCTGAAAAGAACTTAAGTAAAATGAGGTTGGCAGGAGCAAGGTTACAGAGTGCTCAGTGACAATGAAGAATGTAAGAGGGCAGCAATTTCCATTCTAACTTGTATTTGCCACAATCACCCCTGTTTTTGTTCTGCTGCAGTTCGCTTTCCATCAAATACTATGTTATTCATCTTGCTCTCTGCTATTTAGCATGAGTTGCATAACTACTTGTACAATGTATGTAGTCTACATTCATTTCGGTGTAAAGGAAACTTCAGAACAATGGGGGTGGGCAATTAATTACATATTGTTTGGAGACTCAAAAACAACAACAACCCCACGATGAAAATGAATACTGGACTAATTTCCATTCCTGACAACAGGCCTCTCTTTCCACCACTGAGTTACAATTCCCAGAATTTCCTGGGAAGAAAGTTGTACAATGACAATAAAGGTATTATTATTATTATTATTATTAAGAGGGATAGACCATTAAACCAGCCTGGGAAGTGTAGCTTTGAGAGGGATTCCTAACCACTCTCAGCACCCTTAACAAACTTCAGTTCCCAGAATCCCTTGGGGTAAGCCATGACTGTGGCATCATTGTGCTTTCAATGTATAATGCATATAGGACCTAAGCTCACTGTTGCTGAAGCAACATCAAAGCTTTGTCCCCTTATGGAAAAGCCTGAGCCCCACATACGGACTGGCCTGGCCTGAGGCCAGTGGCGTAGCGTGGGTTGTCAGCACCCGGGGCAAGACAAGTAATTTGCGCCCCCTAACCCGTGGATTTGTGCCCCCTAACCCTAACCCCCAGATGTTGCGCCCGGTGCGGCCGGCCCCCCTGCACCCCCCATGCTACGCCACTGCCTGGGGCCAGTGCCTGCATCATACAATAAACAGGGCTATGTTGAAGTATCCTACAATAGAAACAAATGGCTTATGAGTCACCCAAGATGTACAGGCCTGGCTTAAGGATTGCTATTAAAGAAAGGTTAGAGACTGTTTAACACACACTTGTTTCCTGACTGTAATAAATCTTAACATATAAAGAACCCACACCATTCTCCAAATTATTGGCAGTAAATGTTTTAAAGCCCACCACTAAAAGAAAGAAAGGGGGGTTTAAACTACAATAAACATCAGTGTGTCCAAAACCTTTTAAAAATGACAGCTGCAGTTCACAGACCATTCAGACTGGAGCAGTTTCATGGAACAGGGCGGGAATCTCATAAGCAAGGCAGCCTATGAATGGCAACCCATTCTCTCCCTCCCCGCTAGGAATATCGATTTTGTTTTGGTTTTAATTGTACATTAACATTCAGCGTTGACATTAAACGCTTGCTCCCCATGGGATCAATGGACAGAAAAAGCCTACTTTTACAAGTGCATATCATGGCTGAATAAAATCAATCACTCTGAAGCCCAAGTGTGTAACAGATTCCATGGTACAGGCATCATCTGCTCCCCTATGCCAATGCCTCATGATTACTTTTAATCTTAGAATAATCTCCACTCATATTAAAGTAATTGAATATCTACACTTCTACAGGGTAGCAGAAATATTCCAATCGCTCCCTGACTCTTACAAGGCCTGTTTTTTCTCTACTTGTGTTTTTAGAAGAGTCTTAAGGTAACTGGGAGCTGTGGCTGAGACCATATAACACCGGTTCAAAGTGTTGGTGCTGACCTTTAAAGCTATAAATGACCTAGGTCCTGTATACCTGAAGGAGCGTCTCCACCCCCATTGCTCAGCCCAGACACTGAGAGCTCCGAGGGCCTTCTGGCGGTTCCCTCATTGCGAGAAGTGAGGCTACAGGGAACCAGACAGAGGGCCTTCTCGGTAGTGCCCACCGCCCTGCGGAACACCCTCCCAGCAGGTGTCAAGGAGATAAGGAACTATACAACTTTTAGAAGACATCTGAAGGCAGCCCTGTATCGGGAAGTTTTTAATGTTTGATGTTTTATTCTGTTTTTAGTCCTCTGTTGGGAGCTGCCCAGAGTGGCTGGGGAAACCCAGCCATATGGGCGGGGTACAAATAATAAAAAATTGTTGTTGCTGTTGACTGCCTGAGCTCTTATATCCCAGCCTAATGGTTGAAATCATCTGGAGGAACAGTGTTAGTTGTCTCCCATGTTACAGAAACCAGACTGGCCTCAACCAGAAGTCCAGCATTTGGTGCCACTGGTCTCATGCCCTGGAGGACTCTTCCTGCAGAGATCCAATAAGACCATCACTTTTGACTTCCATGCATCTCTTGAATGCCTTTTTATGTGACAGACCTTTGCAGCTGCTTAATTTTTTGACTAGTCTATTTGCCTGAGATTGCTGACCCAACAGCTGTCTGTCCTTTTTCTGCTTGCTGAACCACCTGGTCAACTTTTTCCCTTACCCTCAGCTCTGAGACTCACAGATTAACATAGGAAGGTTCTTTTTATTAAGTCAGACCATTGGTCCAATGGTCCCAATGTCATCTACACTGACTGGCAGCAGCTCTCTGAGGTTCCAGGCAGGGGACACTCCTAGCCCCACCTGGAGATGTTTGGGGTTGAACCTGTGACCTTCTGAATACAAAGCAGATGCTCTTCCACTAAATTCTTACCATTCTCCACCTCTTTTACTGTCCTTGGCAGATGTCAGTGTGATTGGGCTATTTCACTCTAGCTGTGGATTCATAGACTCTTATAGAATTGTAGGGTTAGAAGGGACCACAAGGGTCACCTAGTTCAACCCCCTACAATGCAGGAGTCTTTTTGCCCAGTGTGGGACTCAATCCCATAGTCCTGAGATTAAGAGTCTCATGCTCCACCAGCTGAGCTATCCAACGGAGACTGAGCGATCCAAATATTCCCTCAAGACTTCTTAGATGTAAACACATGTCCTTTCAATTAGAGATTCAGGCTGTGTGTGTGTGTGTGTGTGTGTGAGAGAGAGAGAGAGAGAGAGAGAGAGAGAGAACACAGAGCATTACTAAATTCCAGACACTTCTCGAAGTAGCATGTGAGACTAGTGTAGAATGGGAAGCAACACTATTGTTGGGAAAATTGAACCCAATTTCTGACAAACAACAGGCGTTTATTTCTGCTATCAGCAAAACTAGCCCCAGCTCGCAAGTTGACACATTGTGGTTGCTGTTTGGGCCAATTCTTGGAAAGAGCCAGGCAATATCCTCTCCTCCATCTTTCATTTGGGGGTTGGCATTTCAAAGGACTTGGAACGAATGCCAGACAGTTTGGCAAGTCTCTAATTGACTGTTTCAGGGCAGTAAATTAACAGGAGGTCTCCCTGCTTCTCTTTCTGTTGTTTTTCTTCTTAATTTTATCAGGCGGACGGCTGCTTGGCAAAGGGGACCCACATTCTCCTCTGTGTGAATTCTGGGAGTGGGGTAAATACCTCTGGGAAGATATAAACTTAAGTTGCAACAACAGCAAAAAGTAGTTACACAGTGCGACATACTGAAATGAATGTGCAAGCAGTGTGGGCACCAAGAGACTATGTGTTCCAACATCAATGGTGCCAGTCATTTGGCATTAAAATATGCGCCAGCTGCAAAGCCTTGGATCTGGATAAGTCAGAGAGTGCTGGCAGGCTGACAAGGTGCTGCTTTGGAAACATAGGGAGCTGCCTTATATTTAAGTCTGACAATCAATTCCTCTAGCTCAGCATTGTCCCACTGACAGGCAGCAGCTCTCCAGGGGTCCAGATGGGGGACATTCACAGTCTCACCTGGAGATGCCAAGAACTGAACCTGGGACCTTCTGCGTGGGAAACTGATGCTCAGCTGTTGAGCTCAGGCCTTCCCCTTGGACAGAGATTGGCAAATCAGTTAATTCTGGTTTCTCCCACTTTCTCATTTTTCCAACCTTTATCTTAGTTCCTCACATTTTCTTATCAGTTTGCCAATTGTTATTTTTTAAGTCCTCTTGAAATTGGTGCAGTTTTGGGGGTAATATACACAATTTTATATGCAGCACAGGATTCTAAAGACAGGCACAGCAGAGAGAAAAGGAAAAATACACAGCCTACATGAACACAAATTGTGCATTTAAAAATGAGAGTACAGGCATCCCCACACTTACATGTCATCAGCTCGCACGTGACCATGTATACGTGCGGTGCTTGGACATAATTAAAAATGAAAAAAATTCTAACCAGAAATGGTGGGAGAGAGCTGGAAAGTACATTGTGGCTCGTAAGGAGACCCGTCTGAAGAGCCTGAAGAGGACATCAGTGAGCCAAACATCCAGAAAAAAGAGACTCCAACAGCTACAAAATGGCATGCAGGAGTTCTTGCTGCCATGCTACCCTGTACAACAGCTGTTGGACAGGAAGCTATATGTACTGCAGGGAGCTCCTCACTTACGTGCATTTCAATTATGCACATGGGGGCCTGGAATGTAACCCCAACATAAAATCTATGAACGGAGAAGAGAAAATGAAGGGGAGACAAGATAGCAACCTTCAAATATCTGAAGGGCTGCTGTCATATAGAAGATGTAGCCAGCTTGTTCTCTGTTGTTCCAGAGGGCAGCTCTAGAATCTGTGTGTGGAAATAGAAGGGCAAGATATTTTTACCAACTTTATTAGGAATAACTTCCTAACAAAAAGCGAATACTTAAAACATAAGGAGAACCCTGATGTATCCTAGACTGGCACACATGACATTTTATTCTAGAATCCATTGAGATGCAGCACTTCACCCCTTATATAGCCCACACCCATAGAATCATAGAATCTTAAGGTTGGAAGGGACCCCAAGGATCCTCTAGTCCAACCCCCTGCAATGCAGGAATAGCAGTTAAAGCATCCATGATTGATGGCCATCCAACCTCAGCATACAAACCTCCATGGAAGAAGAGTCCATCACCTCTTGTGGGAATCTGTTCCACTGCTGAACAGCTCTGGCCAAGCTAGTTTCGCTGCATATTTTTGCCCCTAAGAATCACTTCCCGAGAAGCTGCTTTTATTCTGAGAATGAAAGCTCATTTCAAATTAATTCTGCATTGCCCCTTAGTGTGTCCATTTGAAAGCAGATGCAGGCAGTTCTGCCCAATGACATCATGGGTGGATGTATACCAAGATTGTAATGACCACTTCCATCTTTATTCACCTGGGCATGTGCAGGGGGCGTAAAGGCATGGATAACCTAATCAAATGGATATCCAACAACCACACCCATCAATCTACATGGAAAGCAGCATGTTGAGGAAGAACATTAATGAGTCCAGACTGAGAAAAACTAAACTATTGTGCTACAAATGGGTTACTGTGTATGCAGCTCCACTCCCCTAGCGGCCAACCAGATGCTTCTGGGAACTCGAAGACAGGAGCACAAGAGCCCTCTCCCCTCCTGCAGTTTCCGCCAAATGGTATTCAGAAGCATTACTGCCTCCAACAGTGGAGGTAGAACATGAAGACATCAAGGTTAGTAGCCACCAATAGCCTTACCCTCCATGAACTCCCTAATGGTAAGAGCTGTTCAACAGTGGAGCAAGCTGCCTCAGGGGGGCAGGGGGAAGTTATCCTTCACTGGAGGTATTTCAGCATCTGTAGTCACATCTTTCAGGGATGTTGTACTTGCATCCTCTATTGCATTTTTGTAATTGTTATGCCTAGAGGACACGGAGGCATCAACCCCCCATTTTTTGCCATCTGTTTGGAAGGGCAATTCTATGAAACTAACAGCTGTGAACACTGTAGAGAATTTGCATGTCTCCTGACTTTATTTGCTAGTCTTTTTATCAGCTTACTTTTTACTGACTATGTTTGTTTCCCATTCATTGAATTCAATGTGACTTACCTCTAAGTAGACAGGGTTACAACTGCAGCCTTCATGCAGTTGTGCTTCCCTCTCATTGTAGATGTTCCTTTAGATTTCCTGGCTATACATCAAATGCATGGGTGTTCCTTTAAGACACAAAAGGCATCCAAGTTAATGCAAGCTAGTTTGCAGTACCAGCAGTAGCTTTGATGGAATAATTGATTTATACAAAGCAACTACCCTAAGCAAACTGCATGACGCTGGAAAGGCATTTGGCTGAGCAAGCAGCCACCACCAGTTGAAATTATGGGCTATGTATATACTTAAAGCAAAACGCTTCCCCACAAAGAATCCGAAGAACTGTAGTTTACCTCTCATAGAACTACAGTTCCCAGCACCCATAATAAACTACAGTTCCCTGGATTCTTTAGGGGAAGTAATATGTTGGTGAATATGCAGCCAGCCATGATGGGAAGAAGCTGTTTCATCCAAGCTCCATACATAAAGATGATGTACATTGTATTACCCAATTTGCAGGTAATTGTCATGTAAAATGGTGTAGGTTGGTTGGTCTTCCCAGGTGTGGTGTATCTATCTACCTCATTACAATGGTACCTTGGTTCTCAAACTTAATCAGTTCTGGAAGTCTGTTCCAAAACCAAAGCATTCCAAAACCAAGGTGCACTTTCCCATAGACAGCAATGCAAAACGGCTTAATCCGTTCCAAACTTTTAAAAACAACCCCTAAAACAGCAATTTAACATGAATTTTACTATTTTATGAGACCATTGATCCATAAAATGAAAGCAATAAACAATGTACTGTACTATAAAATAAATAAAACAGTATTGTAGATGATAAAATAGAAATTTTTTAAAAATCTTACCTGCACTGATGATAGTCATTGTTTGGAATTTATTCATTTCCACAGTCACACAATCAATCAATCAATCAATCAATAGCTGAACTGGGATCCACACAGTCACAAAAACTAATGAACTGAAAAAGCATCAAAACAAAAAATGCAAAATAAATAGCAAAAACAACTTCACCAAATGTAAACTCCAAATATCACCTCAGAACACTGCAACTGGAAATGGAAGGCTTGAATTATAATGGGGGGGGGCGGACACAAATTAGCAGTGCAACAGGAAACACAGGGGGACGCAAATCAGCAGCGCATTCCTGTTCACCCAGGCATTTGGTGGCTGAAATATTATTGATCCTGGCCTCATTGAAACTTGGACTCAGCTACATTAGGAAAGCAATAGTGATTTGAATGAGCTATAAACACGCAACATCAGATGACGACAGAGAGCAGGAAATTTTAAAACACGATTTCCCATAGATATTTTCCCCTCTCATTTCTGACTTATTTATAGCGTTTATTTTCCCGTGTTATTACTTATGAGGGTATATGACCATTTTTATTTTTTTGATGTTCTTAATTCCTTTCAGATGTTTTAAATATATTACAATTTTATTTTAATCACATTGTTTTCCTGCTTGATTGTTTTCTGGCCTCGTCCCTTTGGGGAGGAAGGGCAGGATAGAAATTTAATAAGGTCATCATCATCATCATCATCATCATCATCATCATGCATGGCTGCATACACATTATGGTATACATTTAAAGCACATTCAAGGTACATTTCCTCCCTCAAAGAATTCTGGGCACTGTAGTCCACCCCTGCATAGCATTACATCCCATCACCCTTAACAAATTACAGCGCCCCTGATGGCAGAGGGAATGCTTTTTTAATATGTTTTGAAGGCATATTATGTACGCAGCCGAAGTGCCTATTTTGTCAAATGTATGCCCAAGAATCAGCTAACCCTAACCCTAACCCAAATGGGAATTCCTAAGCATCCGTTGAGCAAAATGCAATACAACCAGATGTATGCACAGTTGTATACACTGATTTCACAAGATCATTTTGCCCTGCTTGCTTGATTCATGCTGAGCATCTATGGAAGGGAATCCCTCATCATTAGACAGGTAGGCCAACTGGAGACCACCTTATGCACCTGCGCCCACTGCAATCTACAGGAATGTCTTTCATTGAAGTCCCTCAGGTATCAGAAGCCCTCTCCGCAGTAGCTCAGAGCAGGGCTTTCAGCATGACAGCACCTGCTTAGTGGAAGATGTTCCCTGTTGAGATATGACAGTCGCCCACTCTCTGTACTTTACAGAAACAACTGAAGACATTTTTGTTTCGACAGGCTTTCTCAGCCAGATAAATAGGTCCCTGTTTCAAGGTGTTCATTTTGCATTGTTTTAAAACTTATCTTCAGGGGAGGTTTGCACTGTTTTCAAAATGGTTTTAAGCTGTTTCCATACGGTGCCTGTAAATCACCTTGAGGCATATAAGGAAGGTGATTTATGAAACAAGGAGGGGGAGGAGGAAGAAGAAGAAGAAGAAGCCATAGAACCTAGCCTGTTAAGCATATAGGAACTTACCTTATGTTAGATCACATTTTTAGCCATATTCACTTTATTTTTATTCCCCTCCCCCCAAATTTTATGTATTTATTTTGTTTAAGTAAGTAGTACAGAAAACAACAACAACAACAACAACAAAGAGAGAGAAACAGATTGAAAACAATCTAGAAACACTGAAAGTAAATATTACATATCATTTAATACTCTCCCCCTCCCACCTGCAGCTTCCCTCCGCTACAATTTGACTTCTTTGAATCTCTATTTCCACCTTTATCTTTGCATTCTCCAAATGTATCATTCTTTGTATTTCTTTTATCTCTTCTCTTTTCCAAATCATAGATGTACTTTGCATTTTTATTCTAGGCATATTAGCATATCTTTCTTAGAACAATATTTTAACATATAATATTTGAAACATTTCCATTCCTTTTTTAATTTTTGATTTGACTGATATCATATGATTGAGGTTAGCTTTGCCAGTTCTAAATATTCATTTAATTTGCAAATCCACTCCTCTTTTGAGGGCAAGATTTGAGATTTCCATTTAGAAGAAGTCACTACCTTGGCTGCCGTAGTTGCATATAGAAAAATTATTTTTTCCACTTGCGGTATATCTTTCCCTATCAAGCCTAGGAGATATGCCTCTGGTTTTTTAACAATTGGGATCTTCAGCATTTCCTCATGTATTACTCCCCAAAATTTCTTAATCTCCTCACAACCCCACCACATGTGTATTGTTGTTCCTGCTTCTTTGCCACATTTCCAACAGAGGTTGGATTTCAATTTATAGATTTTGGCCAGCTTAACTAGTGTTAAATACCACCTGTGGAACATTTAAACAAAATTTTCTTTAATCATGTAAGAGGTGGTAAATCTTATATCCTCTCACCAGGATTTCTCCCATTGCTCTAAATATATCGTATGTCCAACATCTTGAGCCCATTTGATCGTAGTTTCTTTCATTTCTTCATCCATCAATTCCCAATCAAATAAAAGATTATATGTTTTAGACAGTATTTTCTTATTATTTTGTAATATTGTGTTGCTCAGTTTAGAATCCTCTTTTGCAAAACCTTTTTTTAGATCTGAATTAAATACACTTCTTAGTTGCAGGTATTGCCATCTATCTGACACATATTGTCGTATCTTCTCATAGGGTTTTATTCTGAGTTTTCCTTGATCTTTCTCCAGTAGTTGTCTATATAATGCCCAGTTTGTTCTCATATTAAGCTTTTTCACAGCATGCGCCTCCAGCGTCGAAAGCCACCAGGGGGTTTGTGGTTCCAATTGCAATTTATATTTGTTCCAGACTTTATATAATGCATTCCTGAGTAAATGATTTGTAAAAACTTTATGGACTTTTGCCTTCCTGTAAATGAGATATAGCCACATTCACTTTAAACATCCATGGCCTCCACCAAAGAAACCTGCAAGATGTAGCTTTTTATGGTTGTTAGGAGGGGACTTTGTCCACCTGGTTGAATAGTGACCCTCCAGGGTCTCAAGTAGAGGCCTTTCCTATCCCTTCTGTCTGAATCTTTCTTATGCCATGGGCTAATCTGGAACTGTATACATACACAATGTGCAATCTAACCACTGAGCAATGGTTCCTCCTTCCAGCAGGAGTCCTCCCCACTCTCCAACAACCGACAGCACCAACTCGCCAGAATTCCACTAGGCTTTAAGAAGCACTGCAGTGTTTGGTGAAACGTCTTTCTGTGAGCATGAGGAACAGGGCTGTGCATCTCTCTGCAGTCATTAGAGTACCAACTGTGGCTTTTATGGAGGTTCAGCAATGGGCTTTAATTAAAAAAATGTGCAAGCAGGTTATTTCAAGAGAAACAATGACTGTAGACACACACACACACACCCTCTTCTCTCCCTGGCCAGATCATCACCAACCCATGCCTTTATAACATTAGAACAAAAGATGAGCCTTGCTGGATCAGGCCAATGGCCCATCTAATCATAGAATTACAGAATCTTAGAGTTGGAAGGGTCATTAGTTCAATCCCTTGCAATGCAAGAATCTCAACTAAAGCATTCATGACAGATGACCATCCAACCTAGTTCAGCATACGCTGGCCAAGCAGATGCCCCAATGGGAAGTCCAGATTCCAGAGGCAGAAACAACTTTGTGATTCATCCTGTCTTCAGAGGCATGTTGTCTCTGATGCTAAAGGCAATAGAGCCATTGTTATACAGTGCTTTGAGGACAATTTGGACTTAAAAGAAGAGAGAAGGCTCACCCATACTGTTTAATGTGGATTGTAAGCTTCCTGTTCCTTGATTAATTCTCAGTTGTCCATATAATGTTCCCCTATAAATCACTGCCCAAACTTTCTCCTCCCTTAGTCTGCATTTACTCATTCCTTCCCCTTTTCGGAGTATCCCTGGTAAGAGAAAATCCAGACTGGGGAAAGGGTGGGGAGGCAGTGATTTAGAGGACAACGTCATATGAACAATGGAGAATTAATAGAGGCACAGGTTTCTTCGTGTCTACATTAAATGACAGTATGGATGAGCAGAGAGAGAGAGAGAGAGAGAGAGAGCACCAACAGTATCTGAAGTGACCAATTCATACAATCAAACTGATGGTGTCCCCATTCCCCTATAAATAACACAAACAACCAGTCCATAAAACCCAATTGATGGTATCTATACGCCTCCATATTTGACGTATTATTGAGATTTTTCCTTAGGTTTCTCTTTGAGAAAACCCATCCTTCTTCCTCAACAGGCGGGGGGGGGGGAGATAAAAAGAGGAGCATCATGAAAGCTTCCAGAGCTGTATCGATCTTGCCTCCCATGTCCAAAGAGAATTGTTTACGTGCCGAGCATCAGAAAGCTCACAATTTTTTTTTATTGTAAATACTCATCTCCCCTGCATAGACACCAAAGAGCTGAGGGTGCCTGTTATTATACTTTCTACCTGAACATCTTGCTTTTCCCTAAAAAGTTTCCAGGCACAAGCAATCTCGACATCTGTTTCAAGGAACTCGGCTGGAAACGCAGTTCCGCGCAGCCAAATTGCTTGTGCTTCTATGGAGGAAATGGCTATTTATTTTATGCTGCCATCTGGGCTCTAAATAGTATCTTTTGTCATTTGCGGCCTTGAGTTTGGTTTTCTCCCCTTTTTTCTTCCTCTCCACCAGATATAAAATGAAATGCTTTCTAAATTTGTTTGTTGTATACCACACAAACTTTTTTTTTTAATGTAAAAAAAATAAAATAAGAAGTGTCATAAATTACTTGGGGAGATTGAGTTGGCCATGAGAGTTGGAATCCTTAAACTTTATAAATACCTAGGTATCTGTTGGCTTGCTGAATTACTGTTGTTCTGTATATCTGGTTATTTTAAGCTATGTTAGAATATGGGGCTTCTCTAGATTAGAAGGAAGAAATGTGGTCTCCCCAGTACTCAAACTCCAGGGTAGATTACTGCAATGCACTGTATGTGGGACTTCTCTTAAAGACAGTACAGAAACTAC